GTTCCAGCCAGCTGACCTAATCATTCCAGTGGTTGGGTAGGTTCATGCCCATTATAAATTCAGAGATTGGCTTTCAAGTACAAATCATTCTTGAGTAACCTCCATTTCATTTCCACTGCCCTCGGTCAAGTCCTGTCATTTATCCAATGAACCATTGCAATTGCCTCCCAGCAGCACCTTGACTGACCCAATCCATTGGCTTCAACTTCTCTTCTTTTTTTTTTTTTTTAAAGATTTATTTATGTATACAAGAACTGGGGTGTAGGCCAGAAGGCGGGAAGGGTAAGAGGATTCACCAGAGACAGAGTGGGGAGCAGAACAGGCAGATCCACTGAAATACACTGCTAAGGGGAGCAGCGGGAGAGACAGGAAAGGTCTGCTGCACCATGTGGGTCTCTCCATGGCCGGCCTGGAATTGAACTCATGCTGCAGAGGCTGTGGATAGCTGCTGTGCTTAACTCCTTGCACTAGCAGGGAGGCCCCAGTGTATATGTTTTTGAAAAAGAAGGTTGCACAGTCAACTCACACATGCCTTTATTACAGTTTTTTCAAAAGTCAACATCTACATGGGCAGGTAGAAGCAGAATTTGGTCATGGCTTGCCGACCGACAGTCCCTGCCTGGCTCCCAACTCTTCTTCCTGGCCCAGAACTCTGGGCAAGCCTGAGATAGACAACATAGAATCCTCAAGAACTACAGCCACTAAGATGATATTAGAGGGCCTCCCTGGTAATGCAGCAGTTGTGCGCTGGGCTGCGAAGCTGCCCGCAGCCTCTACATCGCTGGTTAGATCCCTGGCTGCCGGCCAGGGTCCCACATGGCGCGCAGACCTCTCCTGCAGCCCGCTGCTCCCCTCAGCAGTGTACTTCGGTCCTTCTGCCTGCTCTGCTCCCCGCTCTGGCTCTGGTGAATTCTTTCACCCTCCCATGCTTCTGACTGTACCCGGTGCTTGTATAAATAAATAAATAAATCTTTAAAAAAAAAAAAAAAGGATGGTATTAGAGAACTTTACACAGTTACTTCTTAAATAAAGCAATTAATCAAAAAATATTGGAATTAATAAGCAAAAAACCACACACAGTTCTCCCTTTTTTAAACAAAGATTCCTACATACTAAGTTCTATATTCCAGAAGCTTTGTAATAAATGAATGCTGCCTCTAATCACTGCTCACCCCACCAGTTCCAAAAAGGCTGCAAAGCATATTGCACAGCCCCCTGACAGCCTCCAGGGAGACCCAGAGAGAACTCCAGGCATCCGGGGCCTCTAGCACATGGGGTGTCTGCTACCCCCGGGTCTGTCCAGGGAATCACAACTCTGTCAAGGGGCTTTCTTTCTCAGCAAGTGGTCACAACACCAGTTTCAATCAAACTTCACCTTTCACCTCATGATCATTCTTCAGATAGAAAACAACTTTTTATTACTTCAAAGGAGTTATGTTTTTAAGACAAAGAAGAAAAAAAAAATGACAGATCATGTTGAAAAACAGAGCCGGGGCAGGGCAGTGGCTCACTTCCAGCTGAATGACTGCTGCCCCTCACACGCCTCCTACTGTACTCAGATTTGTGCCTCAGCAAATTGCAAGCTACTACAGGTGAGGGATCACTGAGGTCCCTCCCAGAGCGCAGAACTCACAACTATTTGAGCCACAAAGGCCTCATCCCACAGCTTGTTCCATATTCACACTCCTAAACTTTCTGCTCCCTCATCCAAACTGGCATCTTTCACATTTTATAAGCAATTTTTCAATATTCTTACAAAGAAAGGAGGAGAAATTATTTTAACAAGAAGTATGTTCCCATTTGATAAGATATTTTGCAGAAATTGGCTCAGCATCCATATTTCCTTATTGCTAGCACATCACAATGACACAAAAGACATCTTTATCCTTGTCAATGAATACTTTTGAGCACCATCATGTGCAAGGTATCATTCACAAAACCAAACTTTTTGGATCATAACCTACAAAAAGAGATGCATTTTATCTCACAATTCCTAATATAACATATGTTATATGTAGACATATAACATATATGCATATAATATAAACTTATTTATGTAAAACAATGTACTCTGACATTATATATTCTATTTTATTTCCTTTGTCATTTTTTAAAATGCTGACGACTATCCACTAAATGAATTTCACTACCTTATTGGGTTGGAACCTGTGGCATTTCACAGAAAAGTACATCTCGTTGCAAATGAAATCCTACCTTAAGAAGAGAAGCTTAAAACCTCCAAACTGAAAAGTTGGAATAATTTTTTTTTATTTCTTATTTAACTTTCAACTGTCACAATGCTTTAAAAGTATTGAGTCTCAATGAACAAACTTTTCTACAAAAACCTTTAAACGTAGGCCTCCCTGGTGGTGCAGGGGTTAGTCTCAGCACTATTTTTTTTAAGACTTATTTATTTATGCATACAAGAACTGGGGTGTAAGCCAGAGGTCTGAAAGGAAAAAAGATTCACCAGAGAGAGTAGGGAGCAGAACAGACAGATCCACTGAAATACACTGCTGAGGGGAGCAGTGGGCGAGGCAGGAGAGGTCTGCTGTGTCATGTGGGTTGCTCCCTGGCCGGCACTATTAAACTATCACCAGCCACTGTGGTGGCAGGGGCGTGAGTTTGAGGCCAGGCCAGCCAGGGAACTGGCCTACATGGCATAGCAGACCTTTCCTGAGTCGCCCACTGCTTCCCCTCAGCAGTGTATTTCAGTAGATCTACCTGTTCTGCTCCCCACTCTGTCTCTGGAAAATCCTCTCACCCTCCAGATTGCTGGCTTAGACCCCAGTTCATGGATGCATACATAAATAAAATAAATCTTTAAAAAAACCCAAAAACATTTAAATGGTCTCAAAACCTGTAGGTCATTATTCCCCTTACATGGAAGAAAAAATAAGCTGAGACAGAAAATCTTCCCTTCTGCCCCCCTTCCGAATCTGTATTAACAACTCAGATCTGTTTGGGAATTAAAACATGACTATGTTGGGCCTCCCTGATGGTGCAAGGGTTGAAGTCTCAGCATGCTTTTCACCACTATGAAGCTATAGGGCAGCCACTATAGCATGAGCTTGATCCCCAGCCAGGGAGCTGACCCACATGGCACAGCAGACCTCTCCCATCTCGCCCACTGCTCCTCTCAGCAGTGTATTTCAGGAGATTCACCTGTTCTGCTCCGTACTCTGTCTCTGGTGAATCCTCTTACCCCCTCCCCGTACCTCTGGTCTACACTCCATCTCTTGTATGCATAAATAAATAAAATTAATCTTTTTTTTTTTTTAAAGTGACTACGTCTTTTAAAGAATCTTAAAATTGTTGTTACTTCAAATTATTATCCTCCTGGCAAGGTTACCATAAAGATTAACTGAGAAAATATCAGGGGAATGCCTGGTGGCTCCTGCTATCATTCAAGGTCTTGGATTATCCTTTCCTAGATTTGCCTGGTCTGTGTCACCTGGGGACTCATCGCTCATTAAGCACCCGCTCTTCTGGGCAACAGAGGACAGAAGGCCCCTCAAGGAGTTTACTGGCCCCATTAAAAAGAATAAATATCATTTATAAACTAAGATTCTAAAATGCCTAGGACTGAATATTTCACTAATGCATCCAGTAGACAATTATTACAAGCCTCCCATGCTGGGATTGTGTGGTATAATAAATAGTAGACACAACCACAGCCCTGTGGAATTTACAGTCAAATCAGAGCTTAGCATTTGGAAAACAATGCACATTCTATTAATATTACATATGAATGTTTTATACTCCCTTATCTGTAAAGCAAGGTAAGATGAGCTCAGCGGCCCCCAAGCTGCAGATTTTACAGACAACAAAGCTTTCATGAAATAAATACGAAAAAAAAAAAAAAGAAAAGAAAGAAAAAGGAATATGATCTCACCATTCAGTTCTTAAAACAGAATGAATTAAGTGTTATGAAAACAAATCATTACACATCCTTATTTATACCTTTTGCTATAAGCCAGTTTTTATCCTGCTATTAAAGGATCCCTCAGGGCTTGCCTAGCTCTCTCTAGATTCTTTGCAGGAGTACTTACATGGAAATTCTGCCCAAATAGCCCCCGGAATTGTAGAACTAGACCTGTTGTGAGGAGAATTATTATTTTTTAAATATTTATTTTATTTATGCATCCAAGAACTGGAGTGTAGGCCAGAGGTGCGGGGGTGAGAGGATTCACCAGAGACAGAGTGGGGAGCAGAACAGGCAGACTGACTGAAACAGGGGAGCAGCAGGTGAGATAGGAAAGGTCTGCTGCGCCATGTGGGTTAGCTCCCTGGATGGGGAATCGAACTTGTGCTGCAGTGCTGCCAATAGCTTGGCAATAGCTTGCCAATAGTTCCTTAACACTTTGCACCACCAGGGAGGCCCACCGAGGAGAATTATTAAAGAAGGTCACAGTGCACACAGAAAATTCTAGCTCCATCTCTGACTTTGAGCAGGGATTGGGAAATGCAAAGGTGGCTGGAAGGCAGCAAGGAGTCTGGCAATTGTTGAGAGTACTGAGAATCTACTATAGGTCTGATCCAGTACCTGGTACTTCTGCACACATTAACATCACAACAATTCTGGGAAAAATAGGTCTTTCATTATCTGCCCTTTTCAGGTGAAGGAAACTGAACCCAGAGAAGTTAAATATCATGTCCAATGTCACACAGCTAGTAATCAGAATTAAAACTCAGACGTGTCTACTTATTACTATCACCACATCTCGTTAATAAGACATGAGAGGAAGAACAGATGCAGAAAAGTTTAAAGAGACATCTATGCCTTTTCACATGAAAGGAATTTGAAACTATTTTCAAAAGACAACTTAGATAGTCAACTATATGAGCTCATCAGTTTAACAAGCGTTTACTATGTACCTCATGTGGACCTGTGCTGGTGATGTAGCATAGAATAAAGCACATTTCTGTTTGGAGAAGCCCAAGTCATACAACAGATATCTGTAAATGCATATTGACATCACAAGCTGTTAAATACTCACCCAGAGCCAATGGAGGGGTGAAGCCAGATAAACTTCCAGGAAGAGATGTGAAAACCAGGTCTTGGAGAAGGCAGGTGCCCTGTGATGTAGAGAAGACAAAGCAGAGGATCACAGACTGCAAAAACAAGGGAGCAGGGCTTCCCTGGTGGCACAAGGTGTTAAGATGCAACCTATGAAGCTGTCTGCAGCCTCTGCAGCAAGAGTTCGATCTCTGCTCAGGGAGCTACCCACATGGCACAGCAGACCTCTTTTGACTCGCCCGCTGCTCCCCTCAGCAGTGTACTTTGGTCAATCTGCCTGTTTTGTTTCCCATTATCTCTGGTGAGTCCTCTCATCCCCCACACATCTGGCCTGTACCCCAGCTCTTGCATGCATAAATAAATCTAAAAAAAAAAAGGGAGCAGCTACCAGGTCCCACATGGATCCACCAGCTCTCTTCAGACCTTTTCCCCCTGGGTCACTGTCTGGGGAACCAGGATGACTACAGACCCAACTTATCAAGCTGGACCTTCAACAGTTCTTTGTTGGCCTGTTTTGCTTCGTTCCAGTTCATCACCCAGTCCTGTCTAGTCTCCTGAATTTTTCTCAAACATTTTCCTTTCCTTCTTTATCCTCACTCCAGCACCATAGCCTGGTACTATAATTTCTTTGCTCCTGCAACATACTGACATCATCTTACTTTTGTTTCATATAAATTCATCTAGATTGATTGTTAAAGGAGAAAAAAATAGGCATTATTTGACCCTATCATTATCCTTTTTAAATCCTTCAGTGGCTCCCAGTGCCTTCAAGATGAAACCAAAACTTCCTAACGGGTCTTGGTGGTCTGGCCTTAGCCCAGCTCGCTAACTTCACATCTGATCTCTGCTTCCAGCTTCAATGAGCTTCAATTTTTCTAACACAGTGGTTTACAACCCTGCTTGCCCCTTAGAACTACCTGGGGAGTTTTAAAAAATACCAAAGCCAAGGTTCCACTGCCAGAGATTCTGAATGAATGACTCAAGGGAAGATGCCAGGCATCAGGATGTTGTAAAGCCTTTAATACTAATGTACAGCTGGAATGGAGGACATTGCTTTAGCTTAAAGTATGCTTTGGTCCTGTCCAAGTTTGTTCTATATGCCTCTGTCTCTGTCACAGAGTTTTCCTAGCTTCTTGGCCATGACGCCAGGATCTTTTTTCTGTATTGTTGACTGATATAGTTTCAGAATAGTGCCTGGAACACAGCTGCTGCTCTATGAATATCTGTAAAAATAAATGAATGAATGAGCGACACTGCTCTCTCCCTTCATCTGGTTAGCTCTCATTCATTCTATAGGATCCAGCTTAGAATTCCTAAATGATACCCCATTGATCTCCAGTTCTGGGTTAGGTTACTTTAAGTGATCTCAGCACATGCTCTTCCCATTATAGATGTATCATACCACCTTTAAATTATCTGTATCCCTCCCTTAGGCAGCATGCTCCAAGGGAGCCCTCTCTATGTTCACCAATATAACCCCCTCCCCTCAAAAAGTGTTTAGCTTATAGTTGATGCTGATTAAATAAGAGCAGCACGAAAAAATGGAAGCGAACGAGCAAGCTGTGTCCATGTAAGAGAGGAGTGTGGTGTGGCTGGAGCAAAGGCAATGGCAAGAGGTGAAGCCAGGGAGGTACCCTGGGGACAGATTGTGCAGGGTCTGGTAAGGACTCTGAACAACAGTGAACCAGGAGAAGCTTTAAGTTAAGCCACATGATCAGCTTGAACTTGAGGGCAATTTCTGGCTGAGCTATGAAAAGCTGGAGGAATTCAGGGAAACATGGGACACGAGAGCAACAGCTGAGGAAGGAGATAATGAGGCCAATGTATGGAGAAAGGAGTCAAACCTAAAAGAGAGAGAGAGAGAGAACCGTATTTGCAGCCCAGTAGACCTGTGAGGATGGTGAGGCACTGTGGGTGCCTCACTATGAAGCAATCCGCAGCCTCTGCAGCACGAGTTCGATCTCTGGCCAGCCAGGGAGCAACCCACATGGGAAGGCAGACCTCTCCTGTCTCACCCGCTGCTCCCCTCAGCAGTGTATTTCAGTCAGTCTGCTTGTTCTGCTCCCCACTCTGTCCCTGGTGAATCCTCTCACTCCCCACACCTCTGGCCTGTACCCCAGCTCTTGTATGCACAAATAAATAAATCTTAAAAAAAAAAGTTCCTAAGAGAGTAGGTAAAAGTTTTCACCACTGCACACAAAAGATAAATTGTATGAGGTGACAGATATGCTAATTAGGCTGTAACCATTTCACTATCTATGCATATATCAAATCATCATGTTGTACACCTTGAACTCACTCAGTATTACATGTCAATTATATCTTAATAAAGCCAGGGAAAAAATAAACCCAACCCACCTCCACTCATTAAAAAGGTAGAATAAAATTAAAAGTCTGCTGTTCCGAGAAGGAAGAAAGTTGGAGCATTCACTAGATTGATGAGAGAACAAAAGAAAATTTGGTTTAAGTGGAGGAACTTGCTTGCTGGAGCAGAGGCCAAAAGCGAGCTAAAAGATCACCAAGAAAGGGAGGATGATCAGCAGCTCAAGAACCAGGGAAGGAAAGGGCCACAGAACCCAGACAGAGAACTTTGCTTTGGGAAAGAGACAGAGGGGTGGAGCTTCCCAGAGGAATAAAAGTTAGACACAGGCAGGATGAGGTTCCAGGTTCCTATCTGGTGACCTTTTCTCTCTGTGGAGTAGGTAGAGTCATCTACTGACAGGCAAAGCAGGTCTTGGGGACGGTGACTAGTTTCTGAAGAGTTTTGTAGGGAACTCAGAAGGGAACATAGGAGTCAAGCCTCCCGAGTCTTCTAGAGCAGCCACCTTCTGAGGGTCAGGCTTTCAACTTGAGCTTTTCTCCTCTGGCCTGCCCAACTCCATCTCCTCCCCCAGGGCTCGTGGGCAGCCTGGTCTGCTCCCTAGGGAGCTCCTCATTCTTTCCCTACTCATTCTCCAAGTGTGTGCTGAACACACCACCTGGTCCCATTTCTCTGTAACATACTCTGCTTCCCAAGGGCTTTCAAAGGTTCCCCTCATTTTTCAGATGTCCCACTCTTTTCCCCTCACACCTGGCAGAGGTCCTCACCACCTACTTTATAGAGAACACAGAAACCATCAGACTCATCTGCCAAACACACACATTTCCCTGCAGCTGCACCCTCGCCTGCTGAGGCAGCAGTTTAAAACTGCAGTTTCACGTAGGGGGTCTTGACCAGCATTATAAAAATGCAATAAATAGAACAGAAAATAGTATCTAATGCTCACAGAAAGAGTATTTACTGTTTCTCAACTCTTCTGTTTCAATTATGTTGCATCTGGTACTGCGGATGGAAAACTTTCATAATAAAGTTAAAACTGCACTGCAATAGAGAAGCTGTTTTTCCTTCTGTCCAGCTCATCCTTACACCTGTGTTTCCGGGCCCTTCCTCTCCAGCCTTTTCTCTCTGTAAAAATGAAAAACATCTTACTGATCTCCTCCCATCCCCAGTAACACCGCACCCCCTTCACAGTGGAACTTCTTCCAAGAAGGATCTGTGCTGGTCACGAGCCTCCCACCCCTTCACCTCACCCCTCTGGCACAGCTCACCACAAAATCACCAGTGATCCCATGAGTCCATACATCTAGAAGACACTTTTCCTTCCCCGCTCACTCCTCTTTGCTGATTCCTGTTCATCCTGCAATCTCAGTTTAATGCCCCAAAAGCCTTTAACGCCCTTCCAAGGAGGTCAAACCTCCCTTAGTGGCTCTGGGCTGTTCCTCTTGCCTTTTAACAGCAGTCACTGTTACAATTTTACTTGTTTGTGTGATTAACTTCCTGAAGGAGAAGCCAGCCTGTGCCTATTCACCTTGGCATCCTAAGGCCTCCCAGGGTCAGTGCTGCACACAGTAAGCACTTAATAAACTGACACAGATAAACAAGCCCACCCCAGCCTCTGTGCTAGGCATTGGGTGAAAATGATGAAAAAGTTCCAGAGAGTAGAAGGCACTGAGGGAGCAAGAAAGCCAGGGGCTGCTCCTGCCCTGCTTCCCAGACAACTTAGTGCTTTCTCAAGTACCACACTTCCTCCCCAGCTGTCATTTCACTGTCTTTGTATCAGAAAAGTCTGACAAAGTTAGGAAAATTTGCCTAACAGTTGCTACTTGACATATAAGAGCTCTTTAATGAATGTCTTATAACCACCCTATACCCAGTATTCGCTGAGACCTGACTAGATGACCCATCTTTTAGCATAGAGCTACAAGAAACTAATGCCTAGAACTGTTGTGTTTTTCCTTTTTCTTTTTGGCAAGGTATGGCTGGCACCTCCCACCTGCACAGGGTTCCTGATAAAACCTACAGAACAGCAAAAAGGCTTATTCTTCACTGTCTAACCATATCCAAAGAAGACCGTTTAATTTCACTTAAATGTTGGGCCTCCCTGGTGGCGCAAGGGGTTAAGCACAGCACTATGAAGCTGTCCACAGCCTCTGCAGCAGGAGTTCAATCCCTAGCCCGCCAGGGAGCAACCCACATGGTGCAGCAGACCTCTCCTGTCTTGTTTGGTGCTTCCCTCAGCAGTATATTTCAGTCCGTCTGCCTATTCTGTTCTTCACTCTGTCTCTTGTGAATCCTCTCAACCCCTGTACCTCTCTAGCCTGTACCCCAGGTCTTGTATGCATAAATAAATAAACCTTCAAAAAAATTTTACTTAAATGTTTTTGCTATTTGTTACTGATTTCTGTGGCCTCTCACTACCCACATATTCACTTTATGACATTTGAAGGATCTAACAAATATGACAAACATTTAAAATCTAATAAACACACTATGGAGATACAACCACTAAAATTCAGACTGGGAAATTCTACTGAATAAATAGTCAAGTTTTTTTCAATAGAACAATAGGGAGGGGGAGTTTAAAAGTGATTAGAAGTGCTTTGAGGGCCTCCCTGGTGGCACAACAGGTTAGGACTCAACCTATGAAGCTGCTGCAGCCTTTGCAGCACGAGTTCGATTCCCAGGCAGGGAGCTACCCCCACGGTGCAGTAGACCTCTCCTGACTCACCTGCTGCTCCCTTCAGCAGTGTATTTCAGTCAATCTGCCTGTTCTATTCCCCACTCTGTGTCTGGTAAGTCTTCTCACCCACCACACCTCTGTCCTGTACCCCAATTCTGTATGCATAAATAAATATATCTTTTTTTAAAAAAAAGTGCTTTGAAGGACCTAGTAACTAGACACATTGTATGGAACTTGTTTGAATCACTCAAATAAAATAACTTTAAAAAGACAATTATAGAATAATCAGAGAAAAGTAAATAGGAAATTTGTTGCTATTAAAGAAATAATTACATCTTTTTTGGAGTGTGGGGATGATAATGTGGTTATGCAGTCAAAGGGCAGTACTAAACTTTTTGAGTTATATATTGAAAAACTGTAGATCAAAACTATGAACTAAGATAATGTCTGAGACTTGCTGTAAAATGATCAGGGTGAGGTGGGGAGGGAGTGGCTAGCTAGGGTTTTAGAAGAAAGATTGTCAGTTGGTAATTATGGAAGCTGGATGGTAGGTATGGCAATACTCTTCTCGACACTTTCTTGCATTTGAAATTTTCAGAAAGTTGAGAAGTAAATCTAATTAGCAAAACCATAATACATCCAAATTTTTGTTTAATAAAAACTTTGTTTGCAATACCTTTGAATTGTTTCACTTTTCAAGAGATCTAAAAGAACGCAGTACTTTGATTCATAAACCCTTGAAGGTAGGACTCAGAATGCACCTGGGCTGCTGGCCGTTGGCCACGTTTCTGTTCTAATGCAGCTACTTCCTTTCCATCAGAACCAGCACTTACCTCTGTGGTGCTGGTATCCAATTCAAGGATGCACACTGAAAGGACTGCCCTCAAATGTCAGAGCAAAAATGCCAATTAGTCTGGCAATGCCAAAGGTTTCACAACCTTTCCACTGCTTTCTGACTCAGTAACAGAATTTTATATCCACATACTGATCGCATACTTTGGCTTGCAGTTGTGCTGGGGGCTGTAAAGAACTGTCAAGCCAGGGGCCTCTCTGGTGGCGCAAGGAGTTAAATCTCAGCCCTATGAAGCTATCCATAGCCTCTGCAGTAGAGATCCCAGCCAGGGAGCTGACCCACATGGCGCAGCAGACCTCTCCTGACTTCCTGCCTGCTCCCCTCAGCAGTGTATCTCAGTAGATCCACCTGTTCTGTTCCCCACTGTCTGTCTCTGGTGAATCCTCTCACCCTCTCCACCCCCCCAACTCTGGCCTGTACCCCAGTTCTTGTATGCATAAATAAATCTTAAAAAAAACCCTGTCAAGCCAATGCTTGTCATGACCACACACACCACTGACTCCTGTCCATTCCCACTCAGTCTTTGAAAATGGCCCCAACACACTGGAAGGGTAGGGGGCAGTGACTAGGCTATTTATTTCTGTCCCTTTCTGTGTCATTCTCATGAAAGTTTGAATTAGTCAACATAAAATATTCAGAAACTCCTAAAGTCAACTGGACTGTCCACCAAAACCTATGTTAGGCAGAAATGAAGTTCTGGAACATTCAATGACATTCAATTCTGCTTCTGCTAGTGACAACACTAACAACGACTATAGATAGACTCACTATGGCTAGTGGTTAATACAATGTTGCCTAGCCCCAGCTCAAGCCTAAGCACAATAAACACTGCTTGGTTGGCTACAAATTTCTTAAATTGAGTGGGACAGGTTCAACAGCTGGGAAACTTAAGGCAGGCAGGATAGGTCTTCACCTCCTGGCAAAATAAGCCTTCACTACACCTTCCTTCGTTAAATCAACGCTTCATAAAAAAAAGCAGCTAGTGCTGTCTTCCGTGTGACTTAGACAAGATAACCAGCTACATTTCGTTCACCAACTTCAGAAATAAACCTTTGTGAAATCCACCTTCAAAAAAACCCCCAAAAAACAATCAAAAAACCAACCAAAAGCCTCATCTATCTCACCACTGAGCAAAGCAAATGCAAACGATGAATATACACTACAAGCTTAAGCACAGGAATTTTCAGCACCCCCATTCCATTGGGTAGACGATCCCTCCCGACCCTCCCCTCTTCCCCTCGGAGGTATTGGCCCGTGTTGATTTTCAGTGGCGAAAACACGGGGATTTATGTGTTTTGTTTTAAATGGGAACGAAAAGGAGGAGTGGGGGCATAACAAAATGGAGAAGAGCCTTTTCTCGTTTCCGCCCATCTTTTTCTGCATCCAAACGCAGGAATCTCAGTGACATTTCAAGTGACAGCTTCTCGGGCGCTTAAATGCCCCCAACTGAAAACCACGGGGGCCGGGGGTGCGGGTGGAGATCAAGGTGAGCCCGAAGCCCGGAGGGTGGGCCGGGGCGAGGCCGGCGCCCGCAGCTGCTCGGGGCGCGAGGCGCGCGCTCAGCGGCCGCGGCCACCTCCTGCCCGGCGCGCTGCCCGGGGCGCCGCTGCCCCGCGCGGTCCTCGCTGCCCACTCGCGCCGCGCCCGGTTCCGACTCGCAGCGGGGCTCGTTCACTTCCGGTGACGAAGCCCTCCCACCCCCTCCAGGAATAATGTGACATTTCCCCCGCCGCCTTCCCCGGCCCGACGGCCCCGCAGAGCCGCAGAGCCGGCGGCGGGGGTCTCGGCCGCGCGGCCAGCGGTGCCCAGCGGCGCCGGGCGAGCCCGCGGGGCGGGGGGGCGTGGGAGGAAGAGGAAGGGGGTGTGGGGCTCGCCTCCCCGCCCCCACCCGCCCCACTCGACTGCAGCATTAGGCCCCAAAAATAGTAAGCCGCGTTTAGACTCCCCAAGGCCCCCCGCCCGCGAGCCCGCTTGCAGTTCGGAACCCCGTCTCGCCCGCCCAGGGGCCGCTCGCTTTCTCCCGCCCGCCCAGATGCCAGCGGGGACCCAGGGGCCCCCCCAAGCCACACCGAACTGCAACGGATGAGGGGGAGGGAGAAGGTGGGATGAAGGTTTGGGGGTGGCAGGAATGGGTTGGGGGAAGGGGTGGTGGAAGGGAAAGGGAAAAACCAGAGGCATGCAAGCTGCTCCCTGGCCAGCTGTTCCAGCTGCCGCTTCCTCCGGCGCGGGCCGGGCGGTGCAATATTCCCCCCCCTCCATCTTTCTCACCACTACCTGTCCCCCCCACCCGCAACACGCACACATTCCCCCCCAGTAGCAGATCTCCGGCCTGTAAGGGGGTAGTAGGGAGGAGCTGGGGGGGAGGGGGAGGCCTGCGAGTTTCTAACCTTGTTCTTATAAACAAACCCACATGTGCAGCTGCCGCTGCTGCAACTCACCCCACAATCCCGGATATAAGTCCTGCCCCTTTAAGAGGAAAAAAAGCTTCCCCCGCCTGCCTCCCACCCCACCCATCCACTAGGACCTTTGTCTCCCCACCCCCCCTGTCAGACGGCCCCGCCTCATCTCCCCGCCCCCTGCGATGCGGAGGAACCAATGAGCAGAGAAAATAAGGCCGGGAGTGTGACGTCAGCGCGGCCAGCCAATAACGGAGCGCGTTGGTGGGAGGCCACACGGAGGGCGCGCCCGGAGGAAGGAAGACAAGAGAAAGGAAGCTTGAAGGCAAGATGGACGCTGCTAGTTGCTCCGCGGCCGCCGTGGGGAACGGGGACCTGGGGTCCCAGCGGGACCGGAGCTTGGTGCCTGAGCGGCTTCAGAGGCGAGAACAAGAGCGGCAACTGGAGGTGGAAAGGCGGAAGCAAAAGCGGCAGGACCAGGAGGTGGAGGAGGAAAAGAGCGACTTCTTCGCCGCCACCTTCGCGCGGGAGCGAGCGGCGCTGGAAGAGGTTCTGGAGCGCGGGGAGTCCGTCGAGCGGCTGGAGGAGGCGGCCGCGCGGCTCCAGGGCCTTCAGAAACTCCTCAACGACTCGGTTTTGTTTCTGGCCGCCTACGACCTGAGGCAGGCGCAAGAGGCGCTGGCGCGGCTGCAGGCGGCCTTGGCCGAGCGGCGCCAGGAGCTGCAGCCCAAGAAGCGTTTCGCTTTCAAGAGCCGGAGAAAGGATGCTGCTTCGGCCACCAAGGTGGACGCCGCTCCTGGCGCTCCGGCGGCGGAAAGTATCCCGGCTTCCCCGCCGTCCTCGAAGGAGGAGGGAGGCTTTGACTCCACTGGGGTCTGCGGTTTTTCCGCTCTGGAATCCCAGGTCTTGGAGAAGCAAGCCGAGGAACTGCGCCAACGCGACATTCTTTTGACCGAACTGAGCAACTGCAAGATCAAACTGTATGGCAATCCCAACACCCTGCGGCTGCACAAGGCCCGCGGCTGCACGGTGCTCTGTGGGCCGGTGACCACCTCTGTCTTCCTGGAAGACTGCAGTGATTGCGTGCTCGCCGTGGCTTGCCAACAGCTACGCGTCCATACTACAAGAAACACCCGCATCTTCTTGCAGGTGACTAGCAGGGCCATTGTGGAGGACTGCAGCGGGATCCAATTCGCCCCTTACATCTGGAGCTACTCGGGGATCGACAAGGACTTCGAGGGTTCGGGTTTAGACAGGAGCAAAAATAACTGGAACGACGTTGACGATTTCAACTGGCTGGCCCGGAATGTGGCCTCCCCAAACTGGAGTATTCTTCCTGAAGAAGAGCGAATGATCCAGTGGGACTAAGCAGTCGTCACTCTGTCCTTCACTCTTCCCACAAATACTTCCCATGTGGGACTGAGTTCACCTAACAGGACTTCAGTGTTTACTTATTGTTGTCACACTATCTAGGCCTTCAGTGTTTAAGACTTGAGATTGTGATAGGTTCCTAGCCATGACAGATCTTTAAAGCATTTTTGCTGTTTTGGAGATGTCTGGCAGCTGTTACTATGCTAGCTTTGTTAAAAACACACAGGTTCCCAAATAGAGTCACTTAATGCAGGTCACCAAATGGAGACTAAATAACACTTTTCATTTTTCTGTAGAATTGGAATCTTAGAGGATTCATCTGGTCAGCACGAGGGAGGTCATCTATCTGCCTGTAGACCCTTGCTAAAGGAGAGTAACTTTGCCACAACCACTCCACTCTTTGTTAATAGAATTTCCTTGTGCTCACTCCCTCCTGCCTATAAAAGTCCTTCATTGTGTACTGCTCCTGAAGCTCCCACCTGCTAGATAGATGCTGCTCAACTGGTGAATTACTCAATAAAGCCAATGAGATGTTTGAAATTTACTCAGTTGAATTTTAACAGTTGGAAGCAGTAAGGGGAAAACGTGTTTAATGCCTATAGTATTTAAAACTTACTGGATGGTAAAGTAGGCTTTTCAGAAATATTGAATAAATGAATTAAGCAGGGTACTAGAAAGAGCCAGTTAATGTGAAAGTATGGTATCAAAGTTGGGCAAATGACCGGGAACTGGGGAATTCTTTGAATTGAAGTTTTGACTTCCACACGCATTTCTCAACAAGGGTGCTGGGAGAACTCCTTTTTGGTCCTCAAGTACATACTAGCTTCAGCTTCTGGATTCCAGCTTTTTTTTTTTTTTAAACTTTTTTTTTTTTTTAAAGAATTATTTCTTTATACAAGCACGGGGTACAGGCCAGAGGCGTGGGAGGGTGAGAGAATCCACCAGAGACAGCTGGGAGCAGAACAGGCAGAAGGACCGAAATACACTGATGACGGTAGCAGCAAGTGAGACAGGAGAGGTCTGACATGCCATGTGGGAATCTCCCTGGCCAGCCCGGAATCGAACTGGCTATGCGGAGGCTGCAGACAGCTTTACAGCACTGCGCTCAACCCGCTGCACCACCGTCAACCAGCTGTGCCACTGTCAACGCACTGCACCACTAGGGAGGCCCTGGATTCCAGCTTTTCATCAGCTTGTTTCGTTCGGTACAACATTTTGACATGGTCCCCAGGACCCACATGAGACTTAACTGCACAGCCCAAATAATTATAGCTACCAACTCTTTGTGCACTTAAAATGTCAGACACCATCCTAAGCACTTTATTCATATAAACTTAGTAAGTCAACATCTTAAGAAGTAGGTTGTTAGCAACATTTTTCAAATGACACAAGTAAATGCCCAAGGTCATATAGCTCAAGTGGTGAACTGGGAGATGTAACAAGGCAGTCTGGCTTCAGAGCCCCACCTTCTTTACCACTACATGATGGTGATTTTGAATAGCTTAGCTGAGTTGGAAAGAAAGCTTCCAGAATAATGTAAGAGGGCAGATTGCTTTCCTGAAATTCTCATACCAAAAAGCATAGAGCCGTCTTCATTTTTATTTTTACTCGTTTTGCTATAATTTTCTACTGTTACAAATTAGGCTTTCTGCTATATATTCTACCATCCATTATTCTTAAATGGTAAGCTGTAAGGTTTTCAAAAAGCTTTCTGTGGGTCTGGTGGCCTTGTTATTGCAGATATGCTTGTTATTAATAATGACCACAAGCAGTAAGGTGTTTGAAGTGCCTCAAGTATTTATCCCCAAAATGGATTTGAAGACACTACTAATGATAGGAATTGTGAAATGTAACAAGATAAAGCTAAATGAGAAGGGATAATAAAGGTAGAATCAAATTGGATACAGAAATGAGGCCAATGAAAAAAATGTAGTCAGCAAAGTGGGGGTGAGGGTGGGGATACCCAATGCACTATGGTAGACTTTAGTGGAGGGTTATTGCTGCTTTGGTGGTGAGCATGTGTGGTAACATATCTGAAGAGATGTGAACATATACCCTAAAATATACACAGTGTCGTAAATCAACATTACTCAATAAAAAAAAAAAAAAAAAGTAGCCTGTCAAACTTGATTCCTTACCCAAAGGTGATGCAAAATTTCTTTTCTGTCAACTATTAGCTGACAAGAAAAAGGATCCTAATCAGTTTCACAGTGTGTTACATCCAGAAAGAAGAGGGGAGAAAATTGCTTAAGAGAAATAATTCGTTATAAAAGGAGACAATATGTAATGAAATTCTCAACTACATTGTCACAATAGAAACTATAAGCAGTATCCTCTAAACACTGATAGTTTAACACCAAATGCACATCAGCAAAATCCAGGCTTGTGGGACTAATAGTCTGTAATTCATATTTGTGGACTAATCATTTCTACAGGAAAATTAAACTACATTTAAAAAATAAAATCCCTGAAGTTTATAATACATAATAAAACCACAAAATCATGGCAGTTTGAACTGGAGTCCATGCTTGCTAATTGCTGAGCTTTTCTTACTGCTCAGCAAGGCTGTTCTGCCTGCCTTAATAGCTTATGCCAATTATCCCAGACCTTTTTCTTACTTTCTTAAAAGTCACAGTTTTGTGCCTGTAACTCTGCTAGCCTCACCTGACAAATAAGTTTTAGGCCACCCAACCAGCATCCCATTATCAGTCCTCAGTATTTGAAATAATTTCCACCCTCACTGGTCTTCCTTGAGTCCTGTCTCCTCCCTACACTACCTTTTCCATTGGTTCCCCTTCCTTCCCCCCTCCTGTGGTTTTGCTCCCTTTCCATTGGCCTTTTTCTTCCTCTTTCAAAATAGATCTCAGCGGCTCCCTACCTACCCTACCTGTCACTGCATGATGTTCTAACTCCTCCCCTGTGCTGTCAGTCATCTTAAAAGAGCACCCCCTCTTTATAATTTTAGCCCGTTTTCCCTGCTGAAACTGCTCTTTGATGGCATCAATCACTCAGTCTTCTCTCTCCTCTCTTCTGTTCTCATCCTTTCTCCTCTAGGCGTACAGCTTACTACCTTATCCTTGACGCTTCCTTTCCTTGACCTCTGCAGCCTTGCTCTATCCTGTTTCTCCTACAACAGCTTCTTTCCCTTCATAGGGATTCTGGTGACTTATAGCCTTAAGTATGAGTGCTGGCTAAGGTTTTCAGCTGCTTTCTATTCATCCTTTCCAGAGCCTCAACTCTTACCTATGTGTATAGTCCCTGTTCCCAGCCCTCACTCTCAGTGGGCTCAGCTGCCTTCCACATCCCACATGTTTTTAAAATCTCCAGTTTCATGGCTTTCCCTCTAAATTTCCTTTAATGATATCACTATTCTTCAGGCACTCAAAGCCTACCAGGGCCAAGCAGGTCAAGTCAATGAGTAAGGAGGCTGGGAGTAAGTCAATGGAGAGTGGGGGCCGGGTTACTTGGCAGAGAAATTCAAGAATTTTTAAAATATGCAAGCCCAGCCTAAATGCTGCAGACCACATTTGGTCCCTGAGCTGGCCAATTTGTAACATCAGACTTCCAAATCATGTTAATTCTGTCTTCAGCAGATTTTACCCATCCATCCTGTCCTCTCAAGTCTTGCTGCCATTTCAGAAAGTTAGACCTTATTATATTTCTCCTAAATTTATTGTGATGAATTGTACTATCAAAACAACCACCCCCCACCTATATTAAAGTCATACCCCTGAAATAAAAGTATTGATTAAAACAATTTCAGTAAGGTTTTGTTATGCAAATCTAATGATAATGGTCATTACAATAAAGGCAAATTGCACAAATAAGCATAATGACCATACAATTCCATTAGGATCAGCTCTACACAAGCAATAAAATTGCACATTAGTCAAGCAATCAGAGTTTATTCAGTGTTATGGTCATTTATATTAAATATAACTTAGTACTGTATTACATGAGCATTGTATAATTACAAAGTATCACTCCAGAGTCTCAACCTTGCCAGAATAAGAGAAATAATTCTAAGTTTTAATTCTGATGTTCTGTTTGCACTGTAAGAGTCACAATTGCGTACCATTTTAATTTTAATTTTCTTAATCAGGTAGAAATGAACAAGACAGCAAGATGTTAAGATTCAAGTTTCTATGCCTAATGTTACATGGTAATATACAATGTATATGGGAAAGGTACAATATTTTATAAATATGGCAATTAGTAACACAGAAGTAGGACAACTAACTTGCATATAATTCAAAGGCCTTAACCACTGTAAAGGGGTCAGGAAGACCACAGGGCACGTTTTCTAGGATCCAGCAGACCGGGTAAAGGAGGAGTCAGAGTCCTCAGTGGTTTTTTGCAGGTCTTTTATTGGGATTACCAGGTACACAGCAGGCAGGGGTGCTGGGGGGCCGGGAGGCTGGCAGGCCTCCAGCCGCCAGCAAGTCTTCACTCTATCTGGGCTCTCTGGCGTTCTCTGCTCTCTCGGCTTCTGTTCGTTCTCAGCTTCTTGGCTTCTACTGGTGTCCCTGTGACGCTGCCCTTAAAAAGCACAGTCTTAGCCCAGGTGAATCCCATCCCTCTATGCCCACACCCTACTCCAGGGGCCCGCCATCAGGCATGCATTCAGGACCTCAAGGATCCATCATCTATCCTGATGGCGGGAGGGCAGAAAAGCCTGACATTTTTCCTTACCCTACAACTACCAAATCAAAACTCAGTGACAGTATTTGACTATTCTCTTACAAGCCAAAAATAAGTCAAATATTATAATTAAGATGAAGGGTCAATTATTTACCCAGCTTTAAGTTTTAAGAAGGGCAGGACCATATGATACAGAAAGCCATGTTCAGTACAACAAACAAGTGTTTGAAAATCAACTTTGCACCTGTTCAGGGCTAGTGCTAAAAATACAATGATAAACAGGTAAGGGTGTGCAGGTTACAGTCTAGTGTAAGTTCAGATGAATGAAAAAACAATCACAATAAAGAAATCCTGAGAGCTCTTATTGGGTAGTGCCCTCATATTACCTCCACATACTGTCCAGGTTACAAAGGTCCTTAAGTAAAGCATCTGTATCAACCACCAATGCAGGATTTGAATTCCCTGAATGACACCCCTGCCCACTACCTACCAAGGAGCCACCATCACAGAAGTGACTATTCAAAGGCCTGCCTTCCAGCCTTTCAGATATTGAACTTACCCTGAACTTTAAGAACTGACCAGACCATGCAAGAAAATTCAAGACCATCTATTCATGTGGGAACCAAATTCAACATTCTGTTCAGGCTCTCAAGTACTTTACTATGCATATGTTTTTTAGTGGAATACTCTCAGTTGACTTAATTTTTTTAAAAGATTTATTTATGCATACAAGAGCTGGGGTACAGGCCAGAGGTGTGGGGGGTGAGAGGATTCACCAGAGACAGAGCGGGGAACAGAACAGGCAGATTGACTGAAATACACTGCTAAGGGGAGCAGTGGGTGAGTCAGGAGAGGTCTGCTGTGCCATGTGGGTAGCTCCCTGGCTAGGGATCAAACTTGTGCTGCAGAGGCTGTGGACAGCTTCATAGATTGCGTCTTAACCCCTTGAGCCACCAGGGAGGCCCTCTCAGTTGACTTTATGGCCAAGAGAGCTATATGTATTCTGATTTTTAGAACTGCCATCACTATAGAGACTTGATTCTATGATGATGATGCAATGGATTTTTTTTTTTCTCCAAGAGAGAAGATTGTTAAAAAGGGGCACTGGCCAGCCACACACAACACCTCCCAATCATCACCTGCCCCAATATCATCCTAGTAAGTACTTGATATCAAGAAAGACTCAGTAAATCTGGTTCTCAACCTTAATTGTACATTGGAACCATTAAGGATAAAAAAAATTACTCTTGTCAAGACTCACAAAGGGCAACAAAATGAAATCCCTGGAATTAGTACCTGGACACTGGTGTTTAAACAAGCTCTTGGGAGTGATTCTTTTGCAGAACCAGGATTTTGAGAGAAGCAACAAACTAGACCAATCTGGACCATAAGAAGCCCACCTTTTCAGGATGTTAAACCAGGATTCCAGTTAGTCTGAAAACAGAAAGGCCCAAGTAGGGCCTCAGGAGAGCAAGAGCAAGAAAGAGAGCAAGAAATATGAAAAGAGCAGAAGAAAACATAGGTCATTCTCTAAAAGCTTTCATCACTCCTGAAAGTCACTATACATTAAAATTGTGCTGGTAGTAAGGATTACTCTCACGCTCCACTCATCTGGCCCAGAGACTCATGTGGTATTGGTGAAAAACTTGCCCCTCATGTAGCACTGCAATGGGTTTTTGTGTTTTTTTTAAAGATTTATTTATTTTTATTTATAGAAGCACTGGGTACAGTCAGAGGTGCGGGAGGGTGAGAGAATTCACCAGAGCCAGAGCGGGGAGCAGAGCAGGCAGAAGGACTGAAGTACACTGCTGAGGGGAGCAGCGGGCGGCAGGAGAGGCTGCGCGCCATGTGGGACCCTCCTCCGGTGGCCGGGGAGCAGCCGGGGAGCAGCCGGGGATCGAACCAGCGCTGCAGAGGCCCCGGGCAGCCCCGCAACCCAGCGCTCAACCGCTGCACCACCGGGGAGGCCCTGCAATGGGTTTTTAAAAACATTCATGCACAGGTACAAAAAAAAAAAAAAACATAGAATAAAAACTACTCTTCCTCCTTCCTTTACTCCAGCCATCTAATTCTCTTTGGAGAACAACAGTCCTTTTCTGTTTCCTTTGTATTTTTCTGGTCTATGCTTTCATAAATTCATGTGCAATGTATCCTTTTATCCTCCCACGGAAATGGAAGCGCACCCTATGTACTATTAGGCATCTTGTCTTTGCCATTGACATTATACTTGGACATCTTCCCATGTAAGTACGTACAGAGCCATCTCATCTCTAACTGCCGCAGAGCACTGTTACTGTTAATGGGATATGCCATTTTTACTTAGCCAGTCTCTAATTAGTGGATATTTATAGTGCTTCCAATCTTTAGCCATTAGAAAAATGCTAAATAAGAATCCTTATATTTAAATTATTTAGCATGTGTGCAATATTATCTATAGGCTAAGTACCTGGAAGTGGAATTGCTGAGTCAATAGACTATGAAATTTAGTGTTGATATATATAATCAAACTACCATTAAGGAGATTTATCAATTTGCACACTCATCAGCAATATCTTAAGGTGCTAAAACCTCCATACTAGTAAGTACCTGATGTCAAGAAAGACTCAGTAAATCTGATTCTCAACCTTAATTGTACATTGGAACCATTAAGGATAAAAAAAAAAAATTACTCTTGTCAAGACTCACAAAGGGCAAAAACAATATACTGCACTATCAAATTTTTGGATCTTTGCCTATTTGAGAGTTACAAAA